TCGGAGGGTGCGACGCGGCTGATCGCTGGGGGTGCAAACTGCAACGCTCGAACCGGCAATTCCAAATCCACACCTCTCATAGCTGCTAGTAGCTGGGGTTATCAAGAAATAGTTGAAGCTCTCCTTGATCCTAACAACCCCAACGGCCCGGCAGACGTTGATCTTCAAGATACGGATGGTTGGACTGCTTTACATGCAGCTATCATTGGAGAACACTCCGACATTGCCAAGTTGCTACTGGAGAGAGAGGCGAACGTGTATCTGATGGACAGCGATGGACAGACGGCTTTGCATTTAGCCAGTGAACGCGGCAACGTGAGCGTTGTTAAGTTGCTACTGGAGAGGGAGGTGCTTGTGGACCTGAAAGATAACGATGGGCAAACAGCTTTGCATCTTGCCAGCGACGCCACAGAGGAGGACCAAAGTTATCAGAACCCGGATCGAATGGAACCTAGTGATCCGACCTTCGACGAAGAGCACAGTGAAGAATCCCAATTCGGCCGTTACGGTGCCATCATTCGACATTTGCTGAACGGCGGGGCTAGTCTAGGGGCCCAAAACAAAGAGGGGAAGACACCCTTACATCTTGCTGCAGCATCCGGCGACATCAAAAGATTCAAACTTTTCTTACGATGGATCATGGAAGAGGATCTGCTGACCCTGACCGCCGAGCGCCGGGCTGCGCTCTATTTCGCACTAAGAGGAGATAGGCGGGAGACAACCATGGAAACCCTTCTGGAATCGAAGAAGCTAGTTGAGGAAGACGTGCTGATTTGGGCGGCAGGAAATTCGGAAACTCATGATATAGCGAAATGGCTTCTCCAGAAAAGGCCGAAAGAAACGGGGGCGACCCAGAATGCTGGACCCGAGGACTGGAGTGCAATCAAATGGGCGGCACATGCACAACACCCACGGGCACTTTCGCTGCTTATTTCAAGCTCTCCTCGAACTGAAGCTGCTAGGGAAGAGCGAGAATCAGCCCTGATATCAATCTTGAACGAGTTGGCCAAGAACCCGAACGAGGGAGCGGCGCGTGCCAAGATTCACCAAGTGCTCTGGTTGCTTATGACCACCTCCGAGAAGACCGATAGAATCGATGCCGCAATAGAGCCAGCACTTAAATCGGTAGACAAACTTCGGAACCCGCCGCAAAGCTTATCACAACCACAGAAATTGCAGATATCGGACATTTCGAAAGTTAACCCTAGCGGAAATCAGGGTCAGAGCGAGAAAAGCAACTTGAAGAAAGGCGGCGACGAGATTGAGACAGGTCACAACATTCAGCGAATCGAGCCGACGCAGAAGTCTGCGAAAGCTCTTCAGTCGAAAGACTTGAAGACCATTAAGGATTTGCTGAGTGAGCCCCCTTTCGGCATAGCACAGATACTCAGCGACAGCACAGAGTACCAGTTACCTCAACCCAAGGATGACGACGATGTCAGGGAAATACTGAAGAGCTTGGAAGCTCAAGCCACCATCGTGCAATTTTACAAGGGCGAGGGTGTTTCAGTGACAATTCGACGGGATCGGCCAGTACAGAAGTTGGTTTACGACTCGGGGCCGACGGAAATAATGCAAACAGTCACGAACATGCAAAATGCCATCGCGAATCTGAGCAGCGTTGTTGTCGATGATTCTGAGATCGGGCCTGAGTTCACATGGGTTCATCTACCATCAACCAACGTGAGTAACATAGTGGTGTACGCGTATATGATGTGGCTGACTTGGAACAGATGGAGTGGATGAATGTGAGCATCCCAGCACCGACCTTGGTGTCGTAAAATAGAACGAAGTCGGACAAAAGAAGTTCATGCTGACCAACTCCACAGGATCTCTTGACGAGGATTATGAAGGATGAAAATCGCAAAACCTCCGAGTATAACCAACTTCAGTCCTTTTTTCGGGACAGTTGGACAGAGGTACCTGACAGGGAAACTCCATCCAGAATCATGAGGCCACGAACCGCTTTTACGAGGCAGAATAGTGGGACTGATGAGAATCGTGACAAAGATGGAAAGACCAAGGAGAGGCTCAAGAAAGCTGAGAAGGCAAGGAAAGAGGAGGACAGAAGTGTAAAAGAAGGGGAAGAAAGCCAAAAAGAAGGCGAGAAAAGCCATGAAGGTAGCGCGTGCCAGAGGAAAAAGGTTGAAGACACGAGGAACAAGCCATATTCTGGCAATCGTCAACTTAAGGCGACGGTATTGGATGCATCAGCAATTTACGTGAGTCTTCAAAGATCAATGTTGATCCACTTGATGCTGACTTCAAATTGTAGATGCCTTATCTCTGCTTCTCAACTTATCGTGGAAAAGTTCCGGCAAGAGAAGAAGATGGGCTGGCAGGGAAAGATGGACCGGTAACAACACACGAACCGGCAACAACACATGAACCGCGAAGAACACTCGAACAGTACGATAAATTGTTGAAAGCCTACGACAAGGGCTCGGGGGCTCATGAATCGCCGACCCTTGATGAATGGTACTACCACTTCGCAACCGACGAGAAGTCCGAGGAAGACAAGAAACATCGAAACGAAACCCAGATTGTCACCAAGTTCCAGGCAAAATACATGCGTCGCTTGAGATTTGGAAAGGGTGAACCTGTCGAGCCCAGACCCGAACAATTGGCATTACTGCGGGTCAATCAACTCTGGGTCTGGACAATCGATAACAGTACGTATACCTTGCTGAATTCTCCGTAGCCTACTAAGAACAGCGCTTTTCAGAATGGCTCATAACCGCCACGTCTTGTCTGTTGGACGACAAACCCCGAACGCTAGTGGACGAAATTCTCTGCCAGCTTGAGAAAAAGGTAGAGTACGGAGGGACTTGGTCCCAGCCACAATCCGTACTCGATATGAGCAAACTGCTTATCGAATACTGTGTTGGATCTTACGAGAGGAAACCCGAGTCTGATTGTCCAGTCTCTATCGCCCAGACATTTTCTAACCACGTTAATGAGATTGTAAGCAGAGACCTCTTGAATGTAAATTTTAGACGACTAACAAGCGATAGGGAAGGGAAGAAACGACCTTACTAGACGATTTCAGTCACCGCACGCAAGATAGGCCAGAACGGCCACACAGCAAGGAAGAAGAAAAGGCGGAAAAGACCTCTTCGCGAAAGGGGACACAAGAAGAAGCCTCGAATGAAAGCTCACCTGATAAAACTATCAAGAATGCTATCGGGAAAGCAGAAAGACTGTACTGCAGTATCAAGGATGTTCGTGACGAGCTGAATATCCTCAAATCAGCTGCTGGTTACCAGAAGATCGTTCAAAGAGGGCTATTTGGTAATAAAGTGAAGGATGCAGATCTCACAGCAGCTTATGTTGTGAACGAGCTCGAGGAGTTGGACATCATTGCCGATAGGATACAATCGTCTGTAAGGTTTACCCTCGTGCTTATTTCAATCGCCTAGTTGCTAAGGTTGAGGCAAAATAGATCAATACGACTCTTTCACTTCAGCAAAGCGAGGTCGCGAACCGCCAAGCATTACTAGCGACGAAACAAGCAGACGAAGCGGCGAAACAAGCAGCGGAAGGGACGAGACAAGGAAAGATACTCATGGTCTTCACTTTTGCCACTCTTCTCTTCGTGAGTCTTCTCAAGTATCAAAACATATTGCCGGATCACGTACTAAGTCTCTCATTTAGCTTCCGTTGTCGTTCCTCTCGTCCCTGTTCGCCTTGGATGTCGCCTCCTTCCTACAGACTCCTCGCTGGGCCTTCGTTGTACTATGTAAGCTTGAACCATACTTAATTGTTCACAAGGAGCCCGGTTGCTAATTATAAATCCCGAAGTCCTGGTGTCTATCGCAGTGTCTGTGGTTGTAGGTTTAGTTGCTTTCAACTGGGACAAAATTTACGACAAGTTTGCATCAACCGATCCGCAGGAGGACAGAGAAATAGATGCCGCTGAAGAGGGCCCTGTCAAGGTAGACCCTCAGGCGCCCTGCAAACAATCGAATCCCCGGAGCTCTGACAGGCGGCGCCGACAAGGACTGCGCGATTGTTTCGGAGGTCGCGCACCGAGAAAACAGCACAGCAATGTGTGAAAGCGGTGAACAGAAGATGAGATTGGGAAGTCTTCAGAAAATGGGGTACCTCATGGAGAATGTCGGTGTGTCGAAGAAGATGGGCGATTTGCTGAACGCACTTGCCTTCAAAGCCCGAGGTGGTGGCACTGTCGATAAGATTTGGGAAAGCGGTTGCCCACTGGGCAACTCCAAGACAATATTGCAGCGTACCGCCAATCTATGGAATATTACATGATCTGGTCCAGGGCACCGCGGTGCTTCGTAGCATGTTTGGCCGCAGTTTAATTGGAACTGTGCGTATTGCCTTCGGCTTTCGCTTTAGCTGAACCGTGGAAAGCCGCGAGGAATCACAACAGTCCACAATTAAAATGAGATTTCTGGTCTAGCACTTTGTTTCAAGCCGTGAGGGCCTTTGGTGGCCTTGAACTATCTTTCCCACGCTTCTCTCATGGCACTGTGGATAACAGCCGCTATATCATGGTTTACTAATCCACTGTTATAAAAGATGGCAGGATAACTCAAAGATCTGAGTTAGAGTAGAACGGCGAGAGATCTTGAAGCCGCATGATTGGTATGTATTACCGTTGTGATTTAAATAAAGAAAGAAAATAGTTGAAAATCCATTTCGGGGAGGGCATCTGACCACCTTATCGGTGCTGTGACTACAACTCTACCTTAGGTACTTTCAAGCGATCTTTGGCTACCTACCCTGAGAGGTTGCAAGACTAACCTTAAGTCAAAAAACAACCCGAAAGGGTTTAAAAGTTTCATAATTAGCACTTCCTTTTCTTTTCTTCCTTACCTTTACTAATGTCGACATATTCTTTCAATCTTGATATCAAACTTCGAACTGTCACTTATCATATCCCTTTTGAAACATTCCGGTACACGAGAAGAGACGACAGGTTTTACTTCAAACGCTACAATAGCGTCCGGAACAGTATACAAATCTCCACGAAAAAGATGTTTGGAGGAAATTTCTCTCTCTTCCCCCTCCTTCCAGGCGAAATTCGAGATCAAATCTGGGACCTCTCAACACGTCCCATCGGCTCCCGAGGGGTCCACTACTTTTCAGTTTTGGACATCCGTGAAAATATCACATCAATCCCGCATGCAATCAGAAGGCACGTCATCAGCTCGACCTCCAAGCATCAGCGCCAGATTCTTGCAGTCCCGTCACTCGCGAACGAGACATCTTGCCCATCCTGGTTCGACGGCAACCAGTCGACCTACGCCATCGACGGCGGGCTCTGGACCGCATGCAAGGAGTCACGCGCGGCGATGTGTCGACGCTACAAGCCGGAGGATTGGGTCGACCTCTGGAGAAAGCAACGCGAGCATTACGGCAATGGACAGAGATATCTCTGCGATTTGATAGCTACCTAACAAGTTGAAAAATGAGCTAATGCCGGCAACTTTCAATGTCGAGTCCGAGGGGAGAACCCAATCTTTGACCGTCTTACCCGGATATGATCTCATACACCTTGTACCGCTGGAAACAGGGCCGGATTGGTGGACGTTGCTTCACTACGTGCCCTTCTCAAACCCAAAGTTCGGCTTCGGCGGGATTCGCCACGTCGCCATGGACTTTGACCCATCGTGGAGTGTTGAAGGGCTTGAGCGGTACCACTTTGGATGGGAGCGCAGTGTGAACTCTGAAGAGCGCACCGCAGAAGAAGACGAATTGGACGGCCTTGGTTGGCAAACGTACGACAGCTTGGTCCAGGCCACACGAGAGGTTTGCAGGTTCACGAGTCCGACGCTGTGGCTCGTGGACCACCGCCTTCGGCGCAAGAGCACCGTCCCCGACGAAAACGCGACGGAATGGGTCTTTGGGCGCTACGGATCGTGGCAAAAGGAGCAGCTGGTCTTTCACGCGGATGGCTGTAGATACTACGCCATGCCTGATAATCATGCCCGTGAATTTTGTGGCTACGACGACGCGGAGGATGATGTTACCGGTCACGACAATGACGTCTTTCGGTTCGTGAGGATGCTTGAATGGGTGGGTGCTGAACAAGAGGCTGTCGAGAACAGGGACGATGGTGAGAGGTCCGATGACGAAACGGAGTATTATGCGACGAGGCCGGGAATTTTGGTATGTGAAAGGGATTGAATACGACTTCTAGTCTTCGGGAGGACATGCTTGTTGGGCCTGTTTACTAGGAGAACGGAGGTCTGGATCACCGACGGGGATGAAATGAAGAAGATTGAATGCCACACTGCTATTCAAATCGTCAACAAGAGACTTAGGAAATCCAATGTTGAAGATGGCTATTATTTCCCGACGCCTCAACCTCAAGGAGTCTGCGGCCGCCCCCCAAGAGGCCGGGAGTAATTCAACATCGAAGCCCTTGAAAACCTCTTCCCAACTCTCGCCTCGTACACAAATCCAGGTGATCCAAGATCCTCAACCTCACCCTCATCGGCCCCCTCTACCTCCTCAGAATGCCTCTCCGCCCCTACTGAGCCCTCCGAGGACTCGTTGCTCGACATCGACAACGAAAGTCTGTGTCCCCTGAAGCTCGCCGCGTCATCCCTCACACTCTTCCGGAGCGGCGCAGTCGAGATGGGAGACATAAGCAGACTCGACGGGCATCGTGGGCGCTCTGCTACGACAATCGAATCGGGTCGCGGTTCAGGGACGATTCTCGTATCGAGGCGACGGAGACGGTACTCCTGCGCAAGTTACCAAAGTTCACGCTCAAGCTTTCGAAATCCTCACCTCAAGCCCGTCCCTCTCACTCTTCTTCTCCGCCCTCACCACATCCCACGTCCTCGCCATCAAAATCCCAACCCTAACCAACCCAGGCACCACAAACACACCCACCACAACCACACAATGAACCCCTAAAACCACCAACCCAAGCACATTTCTCGTCCTCGCCTCCCTAACCACGCCCGGCAGAAATCCCACAAACACCCCTAGTACAAGCAACCGCGCTGCGCTCAGCGCCCCGCCGACCCTCAGCACCGGCACGCACCGCCACGTGAAGCCCATCACAAGCAGCTGCACGACCTCGCACGCCGCCAGCACGAGCACCTGCACCGCCCCGGCCCCCGCCATCTGCAGCCCGCCGACCGCCGCGCCGCGGACGAACATGAGCGCGAACGCGGCCATGGCGTAGCGGTCCTGGCTGCGCGACAGCCGCCCGGGCGTCTGCGGGGTCTTGGGCGCGTCGAGGAGGAGGTAGCCCATGTTGCGCGGCGAGTTCTGCGTGACGCCCCACCACAGCGCTGCGACCAGCAGCGCGACCACGAACGCGGTGAGTGTCGTGTGGTAGACGGGGAGGAAGGCCGCAGCGGTGAGCTGGTATGTCGACCACGCGGCGATCAGTGTGAGGAAGTAGGTGAGGAAGACGCGCAGGACGGTCCAGACGGTGCCGCGGAGGCTGGGGTCGGTGGTGCCGCAGAGGCGGGCGGCGCGGGCGCGGTTGCTGGGGCGGCGGAGGGCGAGCTGGGCGGCGGCGGCGGCGGCGAGGAGGAGGAGGCCGACGAGGGTGAGGGTGTTAGCCCAGCTGCGGGGGGTTACAGGGGCGCCAAGGATCTGGGTCATAAGATCAAGCCCAGGTGATGCGGTGAGGGTGCCGTTGACTTCATAGATGTCGTCTTTGAGGCTGAAGTAGGGCGTGGCGGAGTGGACGGGTCCGCGGGGGAGCATAAGGGTGGACCAGCTTGAGGGGGCGGCGAAGGGACGGAAGAAGGAGGGGTAGGGGATTATGAGGGAGGTGGAGAGGAAGATGAATTAGATTGTGGTGAGGCATTAGGAGATGAGGGTTAGGTGGGTTAGGGAAGGGGAGGAGATGAAGGGGCCGTTAAAGGATGGCGAAGGTATTTAGAGAGGGAGGAGTTCATGCCAGAGGGCGAGGAGGAGCGTTAGAAGGAGTGTGGCTGGAGGAAGGTACTGGGCGATAGATCTGGCGATTAGGGAGAGGGCGGGAGTTATCGTGGCGGTTACGCAGGAGAACAGTTGTGAGGAGGATGATAGGTGTAGGTTGAGGTCGTAGCTATCGATGAGAGAAGGTGGATCGACAAGGAATGTCATCTGGTGGCGGACAAGGGCAACATCGTGGTTTGGGTAGTTTGTTTCGCGACACGTGGTCGTGAGGTTGTGCACCGTGTAGTTCCTAGAGGCCGCAAGACTGGTTATCTCGATAGTCGCCGATACGTTTGAGGACGGGACGTGGTCGCATGTTTTGACGCCGGCGTAGCTTCCTGTGAAGTTCAAGTGGAGTTGGCTTACGGTACCAGCATTATCAAGAGCGGCTCTGAGGCCTTCCGGCGTGAGTCGAGAGGCCGTCCACTTGAAGGAAATGGCATCGTAGCAATCTTCGAACTGGACGTAGGCGGCGCTTGCTGTCGAGGCAAGCGCAAGGAGAGTCCATCCTATGCGTGGAGTTGTCGCTAGTTGCATGATGGATGTCTAGTCATCGAAAGGTGTTTTTCCGTAGAAGAATCGAAATTTCCAGAAGGACGAGTCGAAGGGTTTCGAGGACTCGGGGAACATTGTGATTTTTCACAATAACACAGATACGAAGGGACGTTGTTGGCAGGTCCACTTATGATCTCCAGCTTTCTCGTATCCAGTGGATCGTGGGGGCCGGTACGAGATCTCAAGCCAACAAGCGCATACAGATATAGTGAATATCCACGTGGGAAGCGTCTCCATCCAAGCACTAACCGAGTTTGCGTGCGTGCCCTTCGGAGTGTTAGTCCGTTATTGCGGTAATAGCATGCGGTAGTAATCTCTTCATTGCATGAAAGTAGCCCTTACAGAAGCAAATCGAATAATCGTGTGGCATTTTCACTCTGATATGTCGAGCGTCCTGACGAATCTTTCTGTACTTCGGTGCTTCGTCCGACCCGGAATTCATGCCTACAACCCGGCTCCGGCGGCGACGCTAGACCCGCACGGGGGCGGTCAGGGCCGATAGAGACGGGGCCGCCACAAACTCTCCTTTAACGACGTGCTGACTTTGGATTTGTGCAGCCGGCAAATTTGTGCCGATTGGGGGCTAGGTTAGTGTCCGCCTCAATACCTAAAATGAACCCCCATCTTACGATGAGTGCGCTCGTCGACATGACAGGTTAGCAAACATTCCAATGTCACACCTCTGCAGCGCCTTAGTCAGCCTTACCTGTGACGGTGTGTCGTCGTGATGCCAGATGCAGTCCAAGTAGTTAGCTGCAGGGGATAGATCTTCGAACTTGCGAGGGCGGAGTTAGATGGCATCATCGAAGAGAGACCCCAGAAGCGCTGCACGCTTGGTCAATGCACTTCGCAAAACGGGCGAAATTGACGAATGAACTCATGTATTAGCGCACGAAGACGCATGCCTGATTAAAGATCAGAAACTAGATAGGTATCAAGATGACGAGACTCTACAAAAACATAGCTGCTTAGAAGCAAGCCTCGGATTGGTAGCACCAAACGTCCTCCTTGTGGCTTGATTGAGCGTGCTGTTGCAGGTTCACATGCTGCTTAGAAGACCTTGTCGAGGAACTGTCTCCACTTAGGCCAGGTGGCAACCTTGGCGCGGTACGCGTGAATCTCATCCCAGTCGTGCTCGCGACGGCCAGTGTCGAGGTCGATCTGGGAGAGCTTCAGGAAGCCCTGGCGCTTCCAGAGGTAACCGCAGGCCCAGAAGAAGAGGACAACGGGCAGGGCGAGGTAGGCCTTGAAGAAGTCCTCAGCAGTGGCCAGGTCGGGGCTGCCGGGGGGCGCGATGGCGACGTAGAACTGGGCAAGCAGAGAGATGAAGATCAGGAAGAGACCCAGCCATGAATCCGCAGTTCTGCCGATAGCACGGAAGGGAAGCTCGTCTAGAGTGTGGCCCTATGCCTTCCAAGCAGCGCGGAAGCGGATGTGGGCGGCACAGATAGATCCCCACGTGAAGAGGGCAGCAAGACCGGAAAGAGACAGAAGCCAGTCAAAGACAACACCGCCAGAGGAAGCCAAACGAACGTAGGCAAGACTACCAAATGCAAGGTTGAGGATGACGGAGTAAAGAGGGCGACCAGATCGATCAATATAGGCGAAGATCTTGGGGGCGTATCCCTGCTGGGCAAGAGCGGTCAAGGTGCGGGAGCCGCCGTAGACGCAAGAGACACCAATAGAAACGACAGAGACAAGGGTAACGACGTTCATAAAGCTGTCGTATCCATGAAGCCCAGCATCGAGAGGGGCCAAGACGAAGGGGGAGACACCATCAGCATAGGGGTTAGCGGAGTTCAGAAGGCGTTCATCAGTGGAGCTGACGAGGAGGCCGACGAAGGTAAGACCCAGAACGTAGAAGCTGGATCACATTAGTGATGAATATGGGGAATCAACTAATATGTGAGACTCACATAGTAATACGCCAGAAGACCTGCTTAATAGCACCGGGCAGAGCCTTAGCAGGGTTGTTAGACTCAGCAGCCGCCAAACCGACAAGCTCGGTGCCAGAGAAGGCGAAAGCAGCAGTGACGAAGACGGAGCAGAAACCGCAGAAGCCGTTCTGGAAAGCACCAGGATCCCTCCAGAGACGGTCACCCCAGTATTCATCATACTTTCCACCCTCAGGGCCACCACCGCAGATGAGAACAAGGGCGACGATCATAAAGATAACGGTGGCGATCAGCTTAAAGGTAGAGGAGACAAACTCCTCCTCAGCAAAGCCCAGGGTGCCGAAAACGTTGATGAATATGATGAATAGCCAGAAGATTATGATCCAGACTGCTGTGCTGATTTCTTTATTCCAATATTATATCGTAAATGAGCAGACCGTTAGTTCGAGTGGTAATACGATAACCTATTGAAAGACCTGCGGCGTGTTAATTGAGGGATGCGCGAGGCAGTAGACGGATGCGACGTACGTAATTCCAACCCATGGCGAAACCCCAGGAAGGATCGAGGAAGCGGATAGAGTACGTGTAGAAACCACCAGAGACAGGGTACACAACGGCTGGAAAAGGACCATCACCCGAGACGTCAGGCCCATCGATACCGTGGTCATGAACCAGGGGCTGAAACAGATGGTCCTCAGGGATATCCGATCATTTCTCGATCCGAAAGCGCGATCTTGGCACGCCAAGCGTGGGATTCCATACCGACGAGGGTATCTATTGTATGGCTGCCCTGGTACCGGAAAGTCTAGTCTTGGCATGTCCATTGCCGGTTATTTCGGGCTGGACATCTACGTCCTCAGCCTTGTAGGCATCAACGATGGGCGACTCAGTGCCTTGTTCGCCGAGCTTCCCCAAAGCTGTGTCGTTCTGCTCGAGGACGTTGACGCAGTCGGCACAACACGATCCCGAGACGCCGACACCGATGAGTCTGACTCGGGTTCAGAAGTGTCACGGAGCTCATCAAAGCCATCTGGAACTCTTTCATTGTCTGGCCTTCTCAACGTTCTCGACGGCGTTGCTTCTCAAGAGGGACGCGTTCTCATCACGACGACAAACCACATAGAGCACCTGGACGACGCCCTGATACGGCCTGGCCGCGCCGACAAGAAAATCGAGTTCCAACTTGCCGACGCTGATGTGATTAGAAAGCTATTCTGCACTGTTTTCGAGCTGTCGGAAGAGGAGCTGTCTGATGCGGAGACTCAAGACAAGAGCAATGAGGAAGTTCGGCAGTTAGCAGCTCAGTTTGTGGCCGTTGTACCGGAGCTGGAGTTTAGCCCTGCAGACATTCTTTCGTTCCTTCTCGCGAACAGGGACTCTCCATCAAGTGCTTTGGCCGACGCGGAAGGACATCTCGGACTACTGCGACTCGCACAAGAACGACATGTGGCATGGGTACGCGGCAGCTGTGGCAGCAGCGTATGCTCGGCAGCTCTTCTTCCACTTGCCGGTAGATGAGGTGCAGCGGTAAGAGTATTCATCAGATATGACATGAGGGTCAACAGTCTTAGTAGCTAATACATCCAACTAGATGCTCTGGTAATGCAACACAGACAGCTTCTTCATTTATACTCCCCTTCAAGCTGCCAGAAGAAGCCAACAGCGTGAGCCACTTCGTGGCTAGACATGAAGAACTTGGACGTCTCTATAACGAACTGAAGTCGACTAGTGAGCGTCGGACGGTTATTCTGCACGGCCTGGGTGGCATTGGGAAGACTCAGACGACAATCGCATTCGCAAAGAAGCATCGCGATGATTACTCGGCGGTTTTTTGGCTTGATGCGAGAGACACGACAGCGCTTAAGCTGAGCTACCAAAGCCTAGCCCAGCGAATTGCAACAGAGACCTCGTCCGTGACATATATCAAAAACGCCCTTTCTAATCGAGACCTCAATGAGACAGTCAGTGCAGTCAAGCGATGGTTAGATGAACCAAAGAACAATCGTTGGCTGATGATCTACGACAACTACGATGACGTCAAACTTCATACTCGTCGTAGTCCTAGTGAGAATGGGACTGGTTTGCAAGTAGGGAATAAGAATAATGCTGGCGAGACAGGCTCAAAAGCGTACGACATACGCCCTTTTTTCCCTAATACAGAACACGGCGCTATCCTCATTACAACACGCTCGTCATCTGTGAAGCTTGGACAGCGCGTCCAGCTTGGGAAGCTAGCCGACCTCGAGGACAGTCTGGCTATCCTGGCGTCTACATCTGGCCGCGCTGATCTTAGCAAAGGTAAATCTGGAAAGGCTTTTCTATGTGATTAGCTAACGTCATGTAGATCCCGACGCCACAGTACTTGCAAAGAAGCTTGATGGCCTTCCACTCGCCCTCGCAACAGCTGGGGCTTACCTAGACCAAGTAGCAACCAGCTGCAGGGAGTATCTTGAGATGTATGAAAAAGCATGGTTACATCTCCAGGAAGAGAGTCCAGGATTGACGGAGTACGATTATACATTATACACCACGTGGGATATCTCACTCCGTCATATCCGGCTGCAAAACCAGAATGCCGCCGACCTGCTCCGACTTTAGGCGTACTTCGACAACCATGATGTATGGTACGAACTGCTGCGGGCAGGGGAGTCGGAGAAGCCGCTTTGGCTACATAAGATGATAGAGGACAGACTGAACTTTGACAAAGTAGTGAGAGTACTCTGTGACTATAGGTTGGTAGAACCGAACGTCGCTGTGAGTGAACCGGGGTCAGAATCGCAAGGATACAGCATGTATGGTTGTGTTCATGCATGGACGATCCATGTGCTCAATACCGAACGAAGTTAAGCGCTGGCATGGACTGCAATTTGATGTGTAGCCTCGCGCATCCCCAATCGAGATCAAGATAAATATTAGATAGTGCAGCGACGACTCTTGCAACATGCCGATCGATGCGTTAAGATATTCGATATAGGTATCGATTTGGAAGATAATGCGTAGATATTCTATAATCTAGGCCTCCTCTACTCGGACCAGGGCCGACTCAAAGAGGCCGAGGCCATGTACAAACGGGCTCTTCAAGGCTACGAGAAGACATTAGGATCACACGCCATGAAGACATATATGCCTGCATTGAATACACTTGAGAATCTTGGTTCCTTGTCGAAACAGGTGGGCGATGCAGAGGTAGCCGTCACGTATTACCAACGGGCACAGAGCGGCCTTTTATCTGTGTTTGGATCTCACAACGAGCGGTATAGAAACGTATCTGGCAAAATCTACTCCTTACAGTCCTCTTCGCAAGAGACGGATGTTTCGCTTAGCGAGGAAGAGACGGATGAGTACTATAGTGCAGAAGAGCTGCAGGATGGGGGTGAAAATTAGATGGAAAAGATTCAAGACAAAATTGAGGGGTGTCTCGTCAAGGTGAAAAGTCTTCAGGTTGGTGGAGAGTGATTTTTATTGTACAATATAACAGTCACAATAGCCAGCTGTCAGGGCGACAGCGTGGCTACCAGCGAGTAACGGCATAACTGTCTTCATTGAATTGACTATGTTGTTGTAAAGGATAAGTGGCCAATTGGCCAGATCCATCGAGATGTGCTACACTACATGAAACAGATGCAAATAAGCCATATTTGGGTTAGGAAACAATAGCCGATGCATAGTTGAGATGCTTGACTCGGTTATGCAATGTGGGCCTGACACACCCCCTCAGAGATGATTCCAAAATGGGATGAATCTCTGCTATACGACATAACTAAAAGAGTGGCCGTTATGCCCGTTTTGCTGTGATCGAAGAATAGATCAGTATAAAAAGAGCGGCTGTTCCCTGAATAGAGAGCTTTTCAACTATCAGTATTCTATGTACTCAAAAGATAGAAATCAGTATAAACGATCATGAAGTTCGTGATGTTGAATCTGTTGTTGTTAGTAATGTTTTCAGCCTGCTGATAACCCCTCAAGAAGACAGTATAATAGGTCTCTGACTTTCCAGTTGAATGGATCTGAGAGTGACACCCTTTTATACTGTGGGATCTGCAGTTTCGATGTATCTCTGAACATCTGTCATCCTAAGCTGAGCTAGGAATAAACTGTGTTTCTGAGGTGGCAAAGCCTTTGTGGTTCCATCTGCAACCATCTCGTTGGTCTTAACCCACTCGTACTTAATGATACTAGTATGAAGTTCCTGTTGTAACCATAGGTTATTGATGTTGATGTGACGAAGTTTGCTTGTTGCTTGAGGTCTCTCAGCTGTAAGCAATCTGAGAGTCTGCTAATTGTCGCATTACATCTTGAAGTCGTCATCAAGTTTAAGTTGAAGTTCCTTGACTAGACGTGTGGTAACTAGGTATTCTTTTGTAGCCTGAGTGAGGGCCACAAGCTCTGCTTCAGTGCTAGATGTGATAACTCTTCGCTGCTTAGAAGACTTCCATGCAATAGGACCTCCAAAGAGCATCATCACATATCCCTGAGTACTCTTTCTGGTGACTGTATCATCTGCAAATGAAGCATCCGAGGCACAGAAGAGTATGCCTTTGCCTTCACAGTTGAACTCAATAGCGAAGTATCTGGTGTTCCAGAGATAGCTGAGACGACTGTTGGCTGCTTGCTGATGCTGGTGGGAAGGGTTTGTGCTGAACTCTGAAAGTCTGGATGAAGTGTAACATATGTCTGGTCTTGCTATGATAGCAGCGTAGTTAATTGATCCAGATATGCGTTGATAGTGATGAATTTCTTGGGGTGAGGCTTGACCTGGGTTTAGGATAAGCTTGTCAGATCCTATAGGTGTCATAGGACCTCTCCTCCCTCTGTCAACTTTGAATTCATCACAGATCTTAGTGATATAGTTATCCAGGCATAGCTAAAGCTTCTTTTGCCTTCGGTCTCTGGTGATTCGAACGCCTAGGAAGATGTTGAGTTCTCCTATCTCTTTTATCTCATACTTAGATTTGAGACTATTGATAAGCTTCCTTGCTTCTGCTTTATCTCTAGATCGATAAGCAATTGCAATATCGTCCATAAAGATGAAGATAACTAGATGTCTGCTGATGAAGATGCAGTCATCCTCATCTAGAGGTGTGACTCCTAAAAGCATAAGAGTGGTCTTAAGACTCTTCTGCTATAGTAGTGGACTTCTTCTTAGCCTATAGAGAGCCTTGCGAAGTATGAGGCAGTAGCCTGAACGGTTGAAGCCTGGTGGAAACCATACGTAGATAATCTCATCTAGATTAGCATTAGTGAAAGCATTCACAGCGTCAAGCTGAATTATATCCAGGTTAAACCTTGCTACAACAGCCATAAGACTTCTGAATGATCTTCCAGCAAGGGTAGAGGCGTAGGTCTCTATTCTATTCATAGGTTGGAGATCTCCTCTAACGCAGATCCTTGCTTTAAACTTAAGCAGTCGTCTATGCTTATCGAATTTATATATGAACACCCATCTGAGGGGAAGAATCTTATGCTCCTCTTGATCCATATCCTTAAGTCTGATAGCTTCAAAAGTGCTCTTTTCCCACACTATCTTGTTCTCAACGTTTATTGCTGCTAGCTATTTTGGCCAGTATTGGTGTTATTTGGCTTCAGCATATATGGTTGGCTCAGGAGGAAGATCCTTCCTGTATATAATGCCAAGATCATGGGCAGAGGCGTCCATAGTGTCCTTATCTTTGCTTGTGTCGGTTGACAGGGTGAAGTTGGATATACCAGATGATCCTCTTTGGTTTCGGCGCCTTCCTGAAGATCTGGTGGCGTTAGGAGGATGGCGGTTCACCTGACCAATTGGTGTTTCCCTGTTGTAGATATTGTTGTTTCTGCTACCTATAGGGCGACCTTGTCTTGCTGTTGATCCTTGAGTTGGATCTGGCGTGATAGCGGTAGGCTGTGGAGAAGGCAACAGATATATAATGATCTCAGGTTTAATAGTGATAGTTGCCTGTTCTGCTGACTCTGGGGTTGGTGGAGTGAAAGCTTGAGCAGACTCTGGTGATGATTGGCGTTGTTCTTGTTGTTCTTGTTGTTCTTGTTGTTCTTGTTGTTCTTGTTGTTCTTGTTGTTCTTGTTGTTCTTGTTGTTCTTGTTGTTCTTGTTGTTCTTGCACCCCCTCAGATGGACCAGGATCAGTCTCTTCTGGTCCTAGAGACTGTTGTGGAGTTGGCATGTTGCTGGGTCCATCTGTACTGCTGTCCTTCTGTAAAAGATAGGTATGCTTAGATGCTTCATAGAGGAGTTCATCTCCATCCCATAAGACAGAGTCTATAGGTAAGTCTTCTGCCTGAGAATCTGGAAAGGCGACCTCTAGTTCCTCGCACTGGAACTGAAGTTCTTGACGATGAAGAAGACTGGTATCCTCCGTACTAGGGTTGTACACGATCTTCTCGTCAAATGTGACATCTCTTGTTCGGAGGACCTTGTTCAGGGCTGGTACCCAGATCCTGTAGATAGAAGTGCTGTCATACCCACACAGATAGCCAATATAAGCCCTTGGCAGAGTCTTATTTGACTTCTGCTCACCTCTCTTGTATTCCTTGGTGAGGGGATAGGCTCTGCAGCCGTATCTCTTGAGATGTCCAAGTTGAGGCTTCTCTGACCTTTGATGCGTTGAGCCTGGCTGTTGGTTATGCCATTCGTTGATCATCCCTTCAGGGGTCTTCCAGCCAAGGATCTTATGTCCTATCCTGTTGCAGAGATATACCGCAGCTCTGATGAGTTCTGGGGCTATAGACTCTGGGAATCTTGACTGAAATCTCAAGGCTCTTGCGATCATAAACAACATTCCTCCAAGCCTCTCTGCTGGGTTCTGGGCACCAGTGTAATCTGCTGATCTTTCAACTAGGATTCCTTCCATAGCTGCCCATAAGTCGAAGGCATTCTGGAGTGCTGTCTCCCAGTCAAGTCTCATAACCCGAACTGTGATATAGTATTGCCTTTCAAGAAGGGTTATAAGCCTCTGTATAGCATCAAGACCTTCCTTCTGGGTTCGCAGTGTTTGGATCTAATTGAAGCGGGACTATCTATCTCCCATAATAAGCGCATACTTCTCGCCATTATATATATTGCTCATAGCGAAGAAGTCGACAATAATGTAGTCGCCTAGGGCAGTTGGCCTATGATCTGGAGGTCTTCTGGAAACTCTCCTCATTGCCTTTGCTGTTGAACAGGCTGCATACTCATCTTTAATGATACCTGTGAGATAGATCCCTAATGAGTTCTTGACAAGTTCTTCTAGTCCTCTGGCACCTGGGTGGCCTAGTCTTTCATGCCATAGCCAGGCCTCAGCCTTAGATACGACAGGGTCTGAGGACTTCTTGAATCCTGAAAAGGACGTTTCTTCTTTATCCCAACCTGTAGGCTGAAAGGTAACTTGCTTAGATAGCGGTGGAGTCTCTGTTGCCTGTGGAGCATGATACTCAAGAAGGTATTGCCCATACTGATGAGGGGTCTTGAATAGTAATTCTCCCTGAGAGTTTTCCATCCCTGGGTGTTTGGAAGTGAAGAAGAGACCCTTCTTCCTGAGTGGCTCTGTGGCTACGAGCGTCACAGGGTAGTCAGGTGTGTACCACATATCTCTGACTTTAATCCCCTTCTTCCCCTTGCCCCCCATATTAGGGCGGACTACCATAGTACCTCTTGCGACAGCCTGAACTGCTCCTCCACCTGTGAGGATAGCCTTCTGCTAAGTGTAGTCAAGATCCTTCATTCTGGTAATATTGTTACAGACGTAGAAAGCTGTTCCACAGTTAATAATAACACTATCCTTAAGGCAGAAACCTGAAGTAAAGCTGGATGGTGATGGGAGGGATGAATCCACAGTATAGAAGGATGAGTCTGAAGATAAATCTGCTGATAACATAATAGAAGCATCATCTGAGTGGCCAACATATGAAGTGTTGTTGCTCCTTTCTCTGGATTGTGACCTAGACCTTTATCTCCAGTTGGTTGAGGATGATCCTGATGATCCCTCCTTGAGGACTTTGTCTAGTCTCTCTTGTATTCCCCTTGCCAGGTTGCAAAGCTGGTTGAAGTGACTGGAGGTTTGCTTGCAGTAAGCCAGTCTGGGTTGAACGTACGAACCCACTGTCTGAACTGATGAGCCTGGGTGACTCCAGCTGGAACCTGGGGAGGCTGGGTTGCCTGATTTGTCTGAGCCTAGGTAGTGTTCTTGGAGAAGTTGAACGAGGCTCCAGTGTAGTATTCTGGGGCAATCTCCTTAACCATGTTCAGGAAGTCTGCCACTTAGGTGGTTGAGTCTGCAAGCGCTGGGACTCCTGCTGAGGCTGCCTCCTCCATAATCTCCTGGTATTTTTGTTGTTGTTGTTGTTGTTCTATTTAACGCCGTGGCGGCAAAGGCGCAGCCGCCCTTGCGGCCGACCTCCCGAGGGGTATATGGCGTGGAGGGCCGCAGGCTCAAGCTATATACTCTACAGTACACGCCTCTTCCAAACGTCCTCCAAATCTTGCCTATAGGCTGCTACGTGTTCTATCCGTCCCTAGTTCCCGCTGGTTCCCTAGTTCCATTATACTCGTCAGTTCCTCTACGAGGAGGGGGTTCGTTACTAAGGCCTAGGTTCAGGCCTAGGCCCTAGTACCGCGGGCAGATCTTCTGGAAGAAGTCTGTCACGCAGAGAAAGGCCCAGAAGCCTTCATGATCAGTGGTTAGCCCCTTGTAGTACCGATCAAGAGATCCTATTGGTCCTATAGGCTCCTGTGGACTAGAAGGGTGGAGGGTGGGCCACTGAAGCCTCCTCACTAAGGTCTTTCGGCAGTAGACTAGGTGGTCTACCTCCTTTGCCTCCCCACAGGAGCAGGTAAGCAGTGCTTCTGTATGGTTAAAGCGTTGATGGTATTGTTCGAAGTCTCCATGGCCTGACCGGGCTGCTAGGAGATGATGGAGTATAGCCCGTGGTAGGGCTAGTTCAGGAGGGCAGGCGAGGGAAGCCTTAAGCCCTAGTTGGGTGTAGCGGGGTGTTGCCTCTTGCTTCCACCATTTTCTATACTGGCGGCATATGCGTTCTCTAGCTAGCCGTTTGATCCCTGACAGGGTGGCTAGTTGGCCCCTAGGGGCTGGCAGGGTTGTGCCCTCCTTGGCTAGGCTGTCTGCTTCCTCGTTCCCTTTGATGCCTTGGTGCCCTGGGGACCAATGGGTTCGTATGTCATACATCCTAGCTGCCTCTTGGATCTCAAGGAAGGCAGCTTGTGAGGAGTCTGGGACCCTGCCTCGGATCCCCTGGATAACGCTGGTATTATCGATACAGATGTGTATAGGCTGGCCCTGGGAGGTAAGGAGGGCTCGTCGGAGCCCTGCCCTCGCCCCCTCAGCCTCCCCATCAAACACTTCTGCTAAGCCGAGGCGGCCGCAGCCCTGGGCTATACGCTTGTTCTTACGGTATATAACAAAGCCAAACCCTGTGGCGCCATTAGGGGCTTTAGAGCCGTCTGAGTAGATAATAGTATGCTTCTCTGGTACAGTCTTAAGCCAGGCCTGGAAGATCCTCGCTGCTATTTCCTTCGTCTTTGTGGCTATAGGGTTATAGGACCCTGGGAGGTATTGCGGCTGTAGGAGTGCTGGCCTTGGACACTTGGGTAAGAGGCCAGCTGTTCTTTGGAGCCTGGTCTGCTGCCGCCCTGGCTGCAGAAGCCTTGGGACTAAGGGATGTTGTTGGTCAACCTTCTGTAGGCGTGTAGCAAAGCGTAGTCGCGCTGCCTCAAGGGCTACCTCTGCTGTAGGTAGGCCAGCATCTCGGATGAGGGCACTGGTTGGTGTGGTCCTCCAGACAGGTAGGATAGCCCTTGCTGCTGCTGTGATAACTTTTCCAACTCTACAGGCTAGGTCCTTCTGTCCTGTGCCAACTGTAGCTATCTGTAGAGTAGTGCTACTGCTAGTATTGGTGCTGCTGTTCAGGGCTGGTCTGGTCAGGCCTGCATACCAGGTCTCCGCTCCATATAGGGCTATTGGGAGGGCGCAAGCAAGAACTGCTTTTCGAACTGCAACTGCTGGGAGCCCCCCTTTAGTGTTTGTTAGGTGCCGTAGGAAATAGGCTACCTTCTTTGCTGCTGCTACCTTTATTGCTACATGGTGTTGGAAGGTGAGTCTCCTATCAAACCAGACCCCTAGCCATCTTATAGGCTTAGTTGAGGCCTTAATAGTTAGGCCTCTCGCTTGGATATCTGGTAGGTCTGTTGTCTGTTTATGTTTTCTGCTGAAGTGGATTGCCTCACACTTAGCTGGGTCAAAGGCGACTTTATTTTCTGTTCCCCAGCTGAGGATACTAGTGATCTCCTGGCCTAGGGCTGTAGCATTCTCTTCTAGCGAGGGGCTAGTAGCTACTAAGCCTATATCGTCTGCATAGCCAAACCGTAGCTTCTGATCGTCAGCTAGGATATCAGCTATATAGAGCAGGAAGAGGATAGGTGACAGCGGAGAGCCTTGCGGTAGTCCACAGGAAAGAGGGAAGTCCTCAGTAGTAGTATCCTCTAGCCTGACGCAGGCTGTTCGGCTGGAGGTGAAGGTGTAGACCAGTCTGATCAGGCTGCTAGGCCAGCCCTGCTGTCGTAGCCTGACAATAAGTCGGTTTCGTAAGACGGAATCAAACGCCCCCTTGACGTCCATTGTTGCTAGCGTCGCAGTAAGCCCTGTATCTAGAGCCCTCTCAATCTCATGGGTTAGACAGGTTGTGAGGTCAACTGCAGCCCTCCCTGGTAGGGCTCCAACCTGCTGTGGGCTGGCAGCCCCTTCTAGGATAGTAAGGTAGGCCATCCTTTTTGCTATCAGCCGCTCTAAGCCTTTGCCTAAGCAGGATAACAGGGATATCGGGCGCCAAGACCCAGTCTTAGAGAAGTCTGTTTTCCCCGGCTTCTGGATCATAACAACCTCTGCTTTGCGGAAGGGTCTAGGGAAGTAGCCTACCTGTACGCAGGCCTGGAAGAGCTGCTGTATAGGCCTAGCTACTAAACCCCAGGTGCATTGTAGTAACTTTGTAGTAATCCTATCAGTCCCAGGGGTTGTAGTCTCTGTTAGAGTAGCCTGGCGTACTTCCTCCATACTAACTGTATCCTGCCAGGGTATAAGACGCCTTGCGACTACTGGAATAGCAAAGGGGTTCCCAGGTAAGTCGTCTGCAGCACTAAATCGCTCTAATAAGGCCTTTCGAAGGGCCTGAGCCTTATCGAGGCTATTGCTGATCGTCCGTCCTTCTACTATGAGAGGTGGGGCTTTAACTGCTAAGCTAGACTTCCGCCAGCCTAAGATTTTATACAGGTCTTGGTCTGTCTTAACCTCTTCAATCTTAGCTATCCAGTAGGCGCGTTTTGCCCTTCTGACGGTTGTCAGGAAGACTTTCTGCTCCTCTAGGACAGGGGGAGGTATAACTAGCCCTGGTTCTTGGGCCTGTTGGCGCCTAGCCTTAATAGCAGCTCGGTGGGCTTCTGAGCAGTCTTCTGTCCACCAGGGGGCTCCCCTGCCCTGGTTAGTCCGTCTCTTACCTACAGCTTGAACGGCTGTGTGGAAGAGACTAACCAGTTGGGCAGCTAGAGTGTCCAGCTCCGCTGGGTTTGGGTGTTCCCCTGGGGTAGGCAGGGCTGCAGCCCCAGCCTTTACTAGGTCGATAAATCGGGGTAGGGCTGACTCTGGGACTGAGAGGTGGCTAGTCTGGCGTCCCTGTTCCTGGGCCTTGCCTATAGGGATAATTGTTGTAATAGCTTGGTGGTCAGCCCCTGGGTGTAGGTGTGGGCTAATATAAGCTTCAGCAAAGGGGATATTTGAGAAGGTCAGGTCGAGGGTATGCCCATGAGTATGGGTAGGGGCCCCAACTTCTCCAATAAACGACAGATCATAGACTTCAGCCCACTCTGCAATATCGTCGCCCTGGTTCCGGCTAGGGGTCCCAGGTTCCCAAGAGGAGTGGCGGGCATTAAGGTCCCCAGCGATAAGGGCTCTCTCTGGCGGTTGATAATCTAAAAGGAGGCTGGTTGCTTGGTTTATAGGCTCATCTGGCGGCCTATATATATTCATAATAGTGAGGTCGCCAGCTTTCACCCATAAGATATCTCTTGATTGGGTAGGTCTTTGTTGCTGTATCTGCAGCCTTAGACCTTTACGTGTGTAGGTCATAACCCTAGGCCTTGTGTCTCTGCTGTTCCAGAAGTCAACTGGTACATAGGAGTTAAAGCCTGGGTGTGTGTTAATCTGCATCTTATCTCTATAGCCTACCCAGGGTTCCTGTATCAGGACTATGTCGATCTGATCTGCCCAGCAGAGCTCCAAGAGAGCTGTATGGGCTGGGCTCCTCTTCCCCACATTACACTGGGCAACTCGTAGTACCTGTGGGGTAGCTGGCCTGAGCCTATAGCTCTGAGTCGAGGTCGAGGTGGGTGTAGGCATTAACAACATTATAGTCAGGCTTCTGGGCTACCCTCTGGCTCCTGCTGCTGCTTGGGAGTGGATGGATAGGGCGGTTAGTTAGGGGGGGGAGGGCTTCAGAGTCTTCAGCCTCATCCTCATCCATATTGTTGCTCCCAGCTACACTAGCAGTATCTGCAACAACAATTGAGTCTTGTGTGGGTGTGAGGGGTCGAGGGCGCTTGGATGCCAGTTGTTGCTCTTGT